TCCTCCTCCTCCTCCTCTTCCCCTTCTCCTCCTCCTCCTCCTCCTCCTCCTCCTCCTCCTCCTCCTCCTTCCCTTTCTTCCCCTTGTCCTTTCTCCCTCTTGCATTGATGGTGTTACTTAATTGGATCATGAAACGCCTAGCAAAAAACCCACCAAACTCAGAGAGCACCAAAGACCCCACAACCTTATCTTAATGCATTTTCCTTCCATCCCCAACCAAACTGATCTTTTTTTTCTTTTAACGGTTCACTGTAATTTCGTGTTTTGTTTTGTTTCCATTTCCAGAACTTGGGTTTGCTTCTTTGTTCAGCCTCAACGCCTTATTCGATTTCTGGAGGTACTTCAAGTATACCATGGCTCCCACCAGCCTAGTTATGAGTCCTGGACAACAGTCCCTGCTGGGGTTGCAGAACGCAGGTGGGGCCTGTTTGGCTTTGTTCTTTTTTTAATCTAACCTCGGCCACTTTAAGACTCGTGGACTTCAACTCCCAGAATTCCCCAGCCAGCCTGTTGTTGAGTGAATCACTGAGTTGGTTAAGCTAGTAACACGGCTGTTCAGCGAATGTGGCTTCTCCAGTGACTTTGCTGGTCAAGTGCTGTGCTGGCCCAGGGTGGGATACAAAACAGAGTCACAGAAAACAAGTGAAAAACCCCTGTTATTCCTTCAGTTTGCTTCCAAGCTCCGAATATCTTTTGACGGAAGACAAAAAACACTCCCACACAAACAGTTACACGAAGAAGGAAAAAAGCAACACAAACCAGACAAGATAAAGGACTGGAGGATGTCCACAGATAACACACACTGGGGAGGACGCCAAACTCAGAGAGGAACCATAAACTAGAGATATTTACACGCTTTGTTCCCAGCGTTCACCAGTACGCAGGTCCGTCCTCTTATTCAGTTGTCACAGCTGCAGCCCATGAAGGGGATCAGGGCCCTTTCCTCCCCCCGTAGACCACACCACTCACGTTTCTCCCTTATCCGCTCCTCCCTGCGTGCCCTAGGATGGAGAGGGGATGCGCCTGGGTCCTCCTCTGACTGCCCAGCCAGCCTCTGCCCTTCCCCAGCCTCCTCCACCACCTCCTCCACCACCCTTCCACTCCCTGTCGGCTGTTCCTCCTCTCCCTCAGAGTCAATCTCCACCAGGCGCATGACAAGGCCAGATAACCTGACCCCGGCACGCCGCGACCATTGTAAATATGAACTGGTTGCCAGCGTCTGAATTTTGCATCCCGTGACCAATGGGATGCCACGTGCCTCTAGAAGTTGTGGGGGCTCTATCCCTGGAGGGTTTTTAAGAAGAGCCTGGACAGTCCCTTCTCTATAGGGCCGGGATGGCGAACCTGTGGCACATGTGTCAGAAGTGGCACGCAGAGCCCTTTCTGTGGGTGTGGGCACCGTTGCCAGCCGCTCTTCTGGTTTCTGGCACGCAAATGTGCGCCGGCCAGCTGGTCCTTGCAGGTGCCGGAGCACCGGGAAACAGCCCCCAAAACGGCCATTTTGGGGCCTTTTTCAGGCCTTTTCCAGGCCGTTTTCCAGGTGGTTTTCAGGCTGCTTTCAGGCCTTTTTTCGGGCCAAAAATGGCCTGAAATGGTCTAGAAAACAGCCTGAAAATGGCCCCCCAAACAGCCTGAAATTGCCTGGAAAACAGCCCAGAAAACAGCCTAAAAATGCCCCCCAAAATGGCCAAAAACAGGCCAGCTGGTCTTTGGCTTTCCGGCACTCCAGCACACACGGGCATGCACACACGTTCCGGTTTGGGCCCTCGGTGCCGAAAAGGTTCGCCATCGCTGGTATCAAGCCTCCTGCCAGAGGAGGGGGTTGGACTACTTGACCTCCAAGATCCCTTCCAGCTCTATTCTCCTTGACTGAAAGAGGAACCCGTTGCCAAGGGTCTGACTTTTGAGCACGGGACTATGCAACGGTCGTAAGTGTAAAAAAACCCCAAAAAAACGACCATCAGTCACTTAATTTTCAATGCCGTCGTAACTTTGAACGGCCACTAAATAAACCCTTGTAAGTTGAGGACGACCTGTCCTTGAAATTCCACGTTTCTTAAATCACCTCCAACGTTTCTGCTCTGCCTTCCTCCAGAAACTTTTAATTTTTTATTCCCCCCACCCCACCCCCCCCCACACACCAACAATTATAATTTGTCTGTCCGTGTGCTGTTCTTTCTTCAACCTTCCATAATGGGATTTTAATTCCAGCGGTCCAGACTACGCCACCCCGGGAGTTGATGCCCAGGAAGACGCCCCCTTCGCCTCCCTCCCCTCCCATCCAGGGGCAGAGCGTCCTGAGCTACAGCCCATCCCGCTCCCCCAGCACCAGCCCCAAATTTGCCACGGGCTGCATCTCCGGTTACAGCCCTCAGCTGCAGGCCTTGTCAGGAAGCAG